GAAGAGCTCAGCCAGGATCTCAAATGCCAGGCATTAATACAGAAAATCATTTCAGTTCCAGATCAATATCAGGACTATCAGATCATTAAAGGATTGTTATACTATAGAAAGAAGTTGATGTTACCTCAAAACTCCCCTAGAATTTTGAAGATTATGCAAGAATATCATGACTCTGCAATAGGTGGACATTCTGGATACTTCAGAACATTGAAAAGGATAGCTAATTTGTTTTATTGACAGGGTATGAGGAAGGATATCAAGAAATATGTGGATAGTTGTGCAATTTGTCAGACTAATAAGTATCAGGCTTTGAAGCCATTTGGTTTGCTACATCCCCTCCCGATTCCCAGCACTATTTGGTCAGATATAAGTATGGATTTCATAGGTGGTTTGCCTAAATCTCAAGGGAAAGACACCATCTTAGTAGTGGTTGACAGATTCACAAAATTTGCTCATTTCATGGCCTTAGCCCATCCTTTTCATGCAAAAGAAGTGGCAGAAATCTTCACCAAGGAAGTAGTGAAACTACATGGATTTCCAAAAACTATTCAGTGATAGGGACAGTGTGTTTCTCAGTTCATTCTGGTCTGAACTCTTTAAGCTGGCAGGTACTCAGCTTAAATTTAGCACAGCATACCACCCTCAGCATACCACCCTCAGACTGATGGGCAGACTGAGGTGGTCAATAGGTGTTTGGAGACTTACCTAAGGTGCCTCGCAGGAAGAAAGCCTAGGCAGTGGAACCAATGGTTACATTGGGCTGAATATTGGTATAATACCAATTACCACATTGCACTAAAACAGACTCCATACAAGGCTTTATTTGGATTGGACCCACCAGCAGTTATTAGAGGAGATGTGACACTAACTGCAGTAGAAGAAGTGGCTAGACTAACTGCTCAGAGAAATGCCATGCTAGAAGAGTTAAAGGAGAACTTAGCTAAAGCTCAAAACCTCATGAAACAGCAAGCTGACAAACATAGAAGGCATATACAACTTCAGGTGGGAGATCAGGTGTATCTAAAGATACAGCCTTACAAGCTCAAGAGCCTAGCTAAGAGAATAAATCAGAAATCGAGTCCTAGATACTATGGACCTTTTGAAGTCTTGGAGAAGATCAGTGATGTAGCTTTCAGACTTAAGCTGCTAGAAGACAGTAAAATACACCCTGTATTTCATGTCTCATTGCTTAAGAAAGTGATTTCACCTACAACACAGTTTCAGCCCCTTCCTAAATGCTTAAATGAAGAAATGGAGTTGCAAGTCAGTCCTGAAGAAGTAATGGATACCAGGGTAAATCAAGAAGGAAAAATAGAAGTTTTGATACATTGGAAGAACTTACCCAGTTTTGAAGACTCATGGGAATTGCTGCAAATAATAAGAGAGAACTTCCCAGATTTTCACCTTGAGGACAAGGTGAATCATCAGGGGGGAGTATTGATAAGCATACGAAGGATCAGCCTATTAAACACTTCACTAGAGTCTATCAAAGGAGAAATAAGGGAGGAAGTTAGTTAGATAATAAAGAGTCTGTAACTAAATGTGTATGTCCCTGCGTGGAAAATAGATATAAATAGAAAGGATAGAACTCTTTTGAGAGGAGGCTGTTATTTTGGTTGTTAGTAGTTATGGGAGATTGGGGCATCTCGAACTGTCCTGTGCTGTATACGTACTTTGTGATTTTCCTTTCTCATCAATAAACCCTAATTGATCAGTTCTTTAGATTTGCGTTTGATTAGTCATTGTTTTCACTCTGATTACTGCCAGTGTCTTATCACAATCACAATGAAAATGTTCTTCATTAATGAGTTCTAGTTCTAACAGGACCAATACTCATTAATGATTTAATTAATTAAAATAAATTAATAATAAGAGGAAAGTGGGATGCACGTCACATTCACTCATTATTATTAGTTCCTCTGTTCTTTTTTAATTGCAATGGTCCACTTTTCACGTTTGCCAACGCACAAGTTTAACCATTAATATCTTATATTCCTTATTAGTAAATAAAAAATAAAAAATAAATCAGATTTTGAAAATTTAAAATGTATTAAAAAATATGTGATAAGTGCAAAATCACCAATGTAGTACAAGAGAACAGAGGTAGTATTATTTATTTCATTTTTCTCTTTTCTTTTTAATTCCAAATTACAAAAGAAAATACCAACTTTATTTAATTAAAAATACATCTTAACCAAGCATTTCAGCCCAACTGGTTGTGAGGTTACCGTGCCTAGTGGGAGGTCTCGAGTTCGAAACCCGCTAGGCACAAAAAGGGTTCGAAACTCAATGGAGTGAGTTTCAGCCCTCTGATTACTCCAGGCCCCCCACGCCCCCTCCCCCATACCCCCTGGAGTAAATATAAAAAAAAACTCTCCTTCAACATCATAATTAAATATAGTCTAATCTAATTAATATTTAAGTCATTTTCAATATTATGAATTAAATATTACTTAATCTAATTAATAAATAATTTCTTCTAACAATTCAATCGGGAGGTATAATCACTTGTTGTGTGACCCATAGGGTCTTATATATTAAGCACTAATCAAATTAAGGTCTTAGTAGAATCCCTAAACGATTTACCATACAAAGTTAATACATAAGAACCATACAAAGTTAATACATAAGAACGTCTGTGAGAACTATATAAACTATCTATGATATAGTAATATAGAACTCATTGTGATACAACCCTTTCATTCACGAACATTAGACTAATTCTAGACTAATTATCCATAACAATAATATTTTCAAAATCCAAAATGAATATATCTTTGTATTGTTCAATGACTGTATGATCAAACTAGATATGAGAAGTAGAATGTTCTCTCTAAATCTATTATGAGGAATAAATCTGTTCTAGACTCAACTACTACTTCATATGTTACGTGATGCACAATACATGTTGTATCTATCTTGAATGGAGTGCAAGTGTTGGTCATGGTCAAAGCGCATCACTTAGCACATGAAGTACGTATTAACCTCAAGTCGGAGGACTATTACACTACTCTATACATTGATACTTCCATAGACACATGAATAGAACATATATCAAATGAATTCTCAGTTGGGTATACCAATATTCTCCAAAATATTTATGTGACCATCCAAAATAATCATGAGATCGACTATATATTTTCTAAAAGTATGATGCAATCCACATACCAATCTTATCGCATATATCGATATCCTATTCTTGGTGATTATTGATTGAAGCTATTTTAGGACCTTATGCTATGTCACACAAGCTCTCACTTACTTGGTGATGACAGAAGTACAAGGAACACAAGTATGAATAATATATAGACAACCAAAACAACTAATCATAAATGTGTAATACCGTAGATCTCAAATATCATAAAACCTAAATGTGATCTAGTACATATATCTCTAAATAGTGATTGTCTCTATGACATACTCCCTCCGTCCCTTATAACTTTGTCAACTTTCCTTTTTTGGATGTCCCATTAACTTTGCCACTTTCCCATTTAAGTAAAGAATCTGTGGTTCCAGTTAATTCTCTCTCCTCTGCACAAGCCTAAACCACACAGTTTTTACTTTATTAATCCACGTGCCGGTCAAATTTGGCAAAGTTATTAGGGACGGAGGGAGTATATACCAACACCTTGTTGCAATTATTATTGTGACTTTGTGATTTTGCACAAATGAGCCCCTATCCCCGACAGATTCAGCATTGCAAGATACCTCTATTGGTTGGGCAATCTATCCCCCTAAGAGTAATATCTACTGTATTTTATGAGTGTTTCCTGTTAAAGGTATTTTCAAGTTTAGGGTTCAGTAAATCAACAAGCCACAATATCATGGTACCAGAGAATTACATTCCGGTAAAAAAAGGTATTCATGAATTTAAAACAAATACATTTTATACATATCTTGCTCTGAACAATACGAAAAGATATATATACACATTGGCCATGCGCCACTATTCATAGGGATAGACATTACATAATAGGACATATAATATGTTGGTGGCATTTTCTGCTATCTCCTCTTGATGGAGAGAAAGAGACTAAAAATTAATTTTTCTTGGCTAAACTCTATATGCTTAAGTGTCTGTGTTTGTGTGGGTGTGGTAAGGGTGGGAGAGGAGGCGGTAGAGAGAGAGAGAGAGAGAGAAATTAAGAGAGAGACCAACCATTCATCAAATTGTAATCAAGTACATGTACTCACCATCAATTTTATAAGGAATTCTTGGGTACAGCTCAACACTCAAGAAAAAGGCCAACAAGGATAAAGTTTGACAGCACAACAAAAGAAAAAGCTGATGTGTGCAACTGTAGCATGAAAGTACTAAGACAGAGTCAAATTACATTTCCATTGCATGTAAGCATTGTAAGGTGCAACTTTATCCTTTGTTTAATGTACTTCAAGCTCCATACATGAGAGAAAATGCTGACGTTGTTCTTTCTACATAATGCCTCATTTACTCATCTAGTCCATCTTTACTACGAGTTACAACTTCTTATCCTCTTTCAGCTTTATATCCAATTGCTACTTTGTGTTCCTACCTCATAATATAGGAGGTAAATGAGGACGAGAGACTAACATGGTAAAGTTTAATGTACTAGTCATTTACCTCCTATATCCAATTGCTACTTTGTGTTCCTTCGAGTGGAAAACATGAAAGATTGTAAGAAGCTCAGGACGCCGTGAAATGAATATTAGGAATAAGAACATAATGCATCAAAATCATACATGACAACAATACAGTGCTAGTCACTCCGACTTGCAAACAAACCTGTACTAGTCCACCAAGGTTATCTCTGAGATCAAGAACAAAAGATGATGCACCCATATCACGAAGTCGCTGCATTGCTGAGTTAAATAGAATAAGAGGATCAGACAACATGACATAGTAACATGGTAAATGAGGACAAGAGACTGTAACATGGTAAAGTAATCATGTCACTATAGCTAACATGGTATGATAGAACCTTGGTGTAATTGAACTAAGAACAGTACGAAATCAGGAAGAATTGATAAAGAAGATATCAAGAAACTGTATTGATATAGATAGGGCACTTCGAGAGGCCTCTACTCTCCAAGCCTAGCCAATTCAACCGAATACATGCCTGCCTTCTTTTCCACCCCTTCCATATCTATTTATAGTACAAGCCCTCTTATTCTTATCTATACTAATAGGCCCATTATAACAGGCCCATTTATTAGTATCTACTATTCTAGTATTCTTATTAGTATTATTATCTATGTTCCTATCAATACTCCCCCCTCAACAACCACCTTGTCCTCAAGGTGGGGAGTAAGAACCCGCCATGCCATTCAACTTCTTTCTCGCGCCTCTTCCTTCCCTGATTTGACCATGTGCTTCAATGCTTGAAACTTAAAAATGAAGGATGTTTCTGTTGCAGAAGTTATATCTGGAGAAGTTTTATTTTCTTCAGTCGCCTTTGAGCCTTCATTAGCAACAAATAGCTCCTTTTGCTGTTCTTTTATGTCTGTAACTGTTAACTGCTTTGATATTGTTGCTTCCAGACTTTCCAGAAACAAACCATCATTCCCAGCACTGAATGTATCCATGTCTTTACTGAATTGAAGGAACTTGTGATTCTGAAAACTCGAAGCTTTGGTATTCTTCAACCTTGTGTGGACCTGCTGTTCTGTTAACTGCAGAAGAGTAATGACACAGTTTGCCAACTCATCCCGGTTATGCACAATTATTGTTGCACATTTGTTGTTGTCAAGAAATCCTTCATTCAAGGCATTTACAGTACCATATTTCGTATAATTCCCAGCAAGTATAAACCCCATTCTATTTTGAATATACTTCATACAAGTATCACTATCAAATCTGAAACCATCAGTCTTATTCAGCTCTTCCAAACTATTGTTTAGTAAATAAGGTTGCATAATTTCCTTAAGACCACCCAATCCAAGTTCCGGAATGCTACCAATCCCAGGTTTAAAATCTTCTGGGTTTCTGTCTAAGGCCCTAGTATACCTTCGAACTTCATGTGTAAGATTATCTGATTTATGCTTTTTGGACTCCTCCAGAAAGTCTGGTGGGTCAACGCTTTCTGCCCCTTCCTGAATATCCTCCGTCTTCCAATTCTTGAACCGAAGATTTAGACAACGTCTGCTTCAACTCAGGGCTCTGTGTAGGTGTTGGGGTTCCAAGCAATGAAAATGGCATCGGGTGAATGATGTCTAGCGAAGACAAGTTGTGCGAGACCGCAAGAGAGGAAGTCTGAGATCTTGGAAAAATGAGAGAATGAGTTCGCGATTTCGAACTGGAAGATGGGGTTTGCGATTGTGAACTGTGATATGAACCTGTAATCACTGTACGCGACTGCGATTGTGAAGTTTCTCCTCTCAGTCGCGTTGCACTTAGCGATGAACTGGAAGAACAAACTTGTGATGGAGATGATTGAGGATAAACAGTTCGCGACAGAATCTTAGAACGGGAAAGAGTTTCTCGCGATTGAGAATACACCTGCGCAGTTGACTGGGACCATTCATGTCGCGATTGATGTAGATGATGAGATCGCGACCTCCTGTTCTCGTGGATTTCATCTCTCATCGCATCCATCTTTTCCACCAATTTTGTCACCATCGTTTTCATCCGTAGCAAGGTTGCATCCATCGCCTCTTGATTATGTTTCATCGCAACTTGACGACGTTCCATCATCTCCATTTGCTCTTCCATTTTTTTGGCTCTTGTCCAGACCATTCTAAAACTGGAACGAAAAAACAATTCTGGTGATGCTACACGGTCTCCGATCACCAGAACGAGTGCACAGTGATCGTTCACAGCAAGAACGAGGCAAAAAAAAAATCGGTAATTTCAACAAGAATTCAGGTCACCAGAAAAGATGCTCTGATACCATTGATAGAACCTTGGTGTAATTGAACTAAGAACAGTATGAAATCAGGAAGAATTGATAAAGAAGATATCAAGAAACTGTATTGATATAGATAGGGCACTTCGAGAGGCCTCTACTCTCCAAGCCTAGCCAATTCAACCGAATACATCATACATGCCTGCCTCCTTTTCCACCCCTTCCCTATCTATTTATAGTACAAGCCCTCTTATTCTTATCTATACTAATAGGCCCATTATAACAGGCCCATTTATTAGTATCTACTATTCTAGTATTCTTATTAGTATTATTATCTATGTTCCTATCATGGTATACCTATTTTAAGAAGATTCAATGGGCATGATCACAAGGTGGTCAAAACGACCAATAAATTTTCCTAGTAATAAACAAAATATGATGGTCATTCTCCATGATATGTTTCACGATGTGCGTTAATTTTATAATACCAAAGTTCTAATAAGCTTTAAGCTTAAAGTGTACTGTGTACCAAAAGTAACCAAGCAAATATTCCCTCCGACCCATTCCAAAGAGTTCTTAAGGCGTGCCAAGGTTAATTCTTCCATTATAATAGAATAGATATATATTGATATTGATCATTAAAATTTACATATTGCAAAACTACACAAGTTCTATAAATCACAAAAACCGAATTTGAAAATGATAAAGATTATCAATTTAGAGATTAAAAGAGAGTTAAGTTGACTGCATGAATTGTGTCCAGAATGGGACAAAGATAGTAGTACTTATGGGTAGGAAAAGAAATTCATCTCAACCTCGGACAAGAACATGATAGACATGTTGATGCTGTAAAAGGGTATGCTTACATAGACACGGTGACGCAACAAATGTTATGGATGCTTATGGCATGCAGTATTTGTAGCCATTCACAATTGCAAAAAATCTAATACTTACTAATTGACTCTGGATAATCATATACAGAGGTTATGGAAGTCATTATTATATGATAAAGGAATTGTACCAGTAACTATATCCTTTTTGGCCAATGCATTAAATTCTTTAAGGCGCACATAACCAACAAGACTAGAACCGTGGTCAATTTGCTCCATCCGATAAAAAACTGGAGTCCTAGCACTGGGCTGTCTTTCAACATCAACGGATTCCACTGGTCCACATTTGCCATGCTTGACCTGACACCATATTACGGACAATTTAAATGGAAAAAATTAATCATTAGAGAAACTGCCACATTGACTCAGATAAATGATCCAGAAAGACACAAAAAATCATAAATACAACCATGAGTTTCACCAATGTTCCACCAGGACCCTGTATGAGTGATGATGCTTCAAAAGAAGATTTCCCCTTAACATCTATGCCGTTAACAGACATTAGTTCATCTCCCTAACAATCATATATAATAAGGGGCATGTTAATACTGATCACAAGATTAAAATCATAGATCAAGGGAACTGATAATTTCTATGCATAATAAAGGGAATCTAATTGATGTGCATAAATAATTTCTTCAATGCCTTTAACTCCCCCACTTTCTTTGCCAAAGAAGGAAATAAGGTGCAAATTTTTTACATGCCATTTATTTCCTCTTTTCCCAACCAACCAACTTAATATGACCAAAGTGCATCCACATTTTCCATTCTTAGCTACAGCCTATAAGCCTATATGTAGTGGGGTAAAAGGCAATTGAGACAGACCCACCCCCACAAACAAATGCACACATGCATGTGTGTGTGCATGGGTGCGTGTGTGTGAGGCTGTGAGCCCATGTATGCATCTTAGTGTGGTGGTAAGATAAACCACAAACCTGTCTCACACCAGCACTACGTGCAGGGCCATCCAAGAGGAGACCTGAGACTTTAAGTTTCACACCCTGATTGTCATCTGGAACCTCCATAAGATTTATTCCAATGCTGGTCATATCGTACCTTGCCATCTTGGAGAACTTTCAGAGATGACGAAAGCAACAAATGGCATAGAATAAGAACACTGAAATGTTTGATAGTAAAAGCACAACCCATACTAGGGATCAAAAAAATGTTAAAACTCTATCTGCATTACAAATAACAAGAAAAACCATGGACACAGTATGATAGGATGGAGTGCTGAAGGCAATCAGGATACATCAATTTTGAACCATTCTAACAATTTATGAAGGCCAGATAAACAGAAAAGAAGAGTAGGATGTTTTAACAGAAAAGGGTAAAGTACCAGGATACAACAGAAAACTGTCATTTGAACTTTTAAAGTGATTCTATGTTTTACTTATAATTGAAAAAATAATATTACATTTCATATCAAATGAATAACAAATTGAATTACACCCCCCCCCCCCCCCCAAAAAAAATTGAATTCATCAGAACCAAGATAAACAGCATACTATAATGGAAATATAAAATAATATACTCTCTTCGTCCCGCTAAGATTGTCTCATCTTTCATTTTCGGTCCGTCCCACTAAGATTGTCCCATACCAAATTTGGTGAAATTTGTGTCATTTTACATCATTCTTACTTTATTCTTACTTTATCAATTTAATACCAACCACATAAACTCGCTTTTCTTGATAACCGTGTCACCTTCTCATGTTCCAATGTTAGTGGGACGGAGGTAATATATTGCAATAACTAATAAGCAACCAAAACATTTAACATTGTTGAGTATCCCACATCAGTTTTTTACTAGCCTCGAGCGGTCGAGCCTAATGTATAAATATTAGGTAGGCCTCACATTTTCATGATACTCTTGAGGTGATTACGCTCGATTTTCCTGGTATTAGAGGCTAGTGAGATGGTGGTTTATGGGATGTCCTCCCCCTTGGTGGTTTGGGGTAGCCATCTGGGTCTCTTTGAACCAAACGGTACACCCCTTCTGTTGTCCAATTCGATTAGGGCTTAGGGGAGTTTTGGGCATCCCATACAAGTTGTGTACTAAGCTTCAATCTAGAATATAAAACCCCACCTTTTGAAGATCTTTATGGGGTGAGTTAGAGCATCAAAAATACTATTGGTTAGTTAGATTATTGGAAACACATATTGATTCCCCTTTTCCTTCAGTTGTACTGTAAATTTCTACTTATTCATAATTCATGTACACAATAAGGAAAAATATATTAGCCTCAAACCTCCGCAGGTGAAAGGAAATGTGTATAAGGATCATCCAAGCTGGTCAACATCCGCCTAATAATATCATGAGCTCTTGCTCTTGACTGAATTGGTGTACTTGTGATGTCTTCTTTTTTACTCTGGAGCAAAAAAATAAAAGTAAAATATTAATGAATTGCACTTTCAACAGTTCTAAAATCTTATTTCCATGTGTAGTGTTCACTATAGGATTACATAGAGATACTGTGAGGAAGGATGGATATATGAAGCACTGAAAGACACATCTTTTGGTACATATTAAAACAATGTTTAAGCATAATAGTGAGAGCATTTAATATTTTATCAATAGATGCAGGGTTCTAGTACTACAGTATATTGCAAAGTTTCATCTCAACTACCAGGTAACACTGGGGTCCAATTGTCCAAAGAGGCATGTGGAGCGGGTGCCCCTGCTTCTGGTCCCAAAGAATTGCATTAGAAAAAATGCAATTCTTAGATGAGTCCCAGACCAGTGCCCCGCTACTTTTCTGAAGAATTGCATTACAAATTAGATGATAGACTGGTGCCCCACTACTTTTCCAGTTCATAGTATTAATTCTTAGATGAGTCCCAGACCTGGAAGTCGTAGAAGCATCGCTCAGAAGAGACATTGTTATGTTGCAAAAGAAAAATATCACTGTTTATAATCCAAGCCCAGCACAACAATGTTATAATTTCGGGTTTTGTTTAAAAAAATCACTGTTATAATTTTCCATCATTTGCAATAGAGCCAAAGACTCACTATTTTTTGGCTTGAAAATATGATGGAATAAAGTAAAATGGCTCACTAAACTGTCTGCGCTTCTTTGTGATGAAGCTGCAGTCAGTCCATGCAATTGTGGACGCGATTTTCACTATGGGTCATCCGGAAACAGTCTCTTTGTGCTTAAGTACAGGGGTAAGACTGCGTACATCCGACCCCCCCTTACCCCACCTTAGGTGGGAGCCTTTGCGGCACTGGGATAGTGATGATGATGATGTTTAAAAAAACAATCTAAAATAACATTGTGCAAACTACAATTTTAAATAAAGTAAAGAATAAAAACCAGATTATGTTGAAGCAAAGTGTGCTACTATCATTGTATAGTAATGAACTAATCTATAGCCATTTGTAACTTCCTCCACGTTCCTTTCCGGTCTATGATGCTTAACTAATGACAAAGTTAAATGTACATATTTACTGGGTTATTTACTCGGCGAGTACTCGGTGAGTACTCCCTACTCGGCCTATGACCTTGCAGAGTAGCACATTACTCGGCCCGAGTTATTATTCCGAGTTACTCGCCGAGTACTCGGCGAGTTAGCCAACTCGGTCAGTGGGTCAAAAAGGCGATTTACTCGGGAGTACTTGGTATTTAGAAAAAAAATACCTCCGCTTGGAAAAAAATTAAATTGAGATTATCCCCTGTGTTGTTTCTTATTCTCCCTCATGCTGCCTATTATATTCTTCTCTGTATACTGTAATAAACTCTAAGAATTTTGGATTGTTCTTCGTTTGCTTGTGCTCCTTAAACTGATGTTTTCATTGTACATTTTCAAATCTTTGGCCAACTAAAGTGAATGTATTGAATGTACCCATGAGACCTGAGTTGTTGAATGCTGAAATAAAATCTCTTAATTGAAAGGTGAAAAATATAGCTCAGCAAAAAAGCATCATGTTTGGTTTTGGGTGAGCTGCAATTTGTATTTAGGGAACTACCTTTGAGGACTCGTTGTTCGGTAGGTGCCACTTTGAAGTTACTTTGAAGTTCTTCAATTGGAATAAGAATAGGTGCCAAAAAACTGCAAAAAATATTTGCCTTTTCTTCCACTACTCTTGCTTCTTGAAGTTGTATTCTGGTATTGTTTACGTATTATATGCATTTTAAGACAATTTCTATCCTTTTATTCACTTCTATGCATTTTAAGACAATTTAAAGACAATTTTATTACTATATTTTAAGACTACTATATTTAAATATATTTTTTATATTTAATTAATACTAGGCCGAGTAATCACCGAGTAATCTCGAGTAATCGATCCTACTCGCTACTCGGCCCTTAAC